GACTTTCCCTTTACATAATCCCTGATATATTTGGGGACTGCTAACCATCAGGACAGCTGCTGTGTGATCATAAAATTAAGTAAGCTTTATTAGGTAAAATCGGGACTCTAGGGCTAAAATTTCTCTAGTCTATCTGCCATCTTTAATATAATATAATATAAGCTGAAGAGTTCTATTTGGATATTTTCTTTAAATTTTTTTTTCAAGATTTGTAGTGTCATAAATGCAGTGTTGAAGATTGAAGAACAAACAATTCGCTTTTCCCGAATTAGCCCCACTTCGCACCGCAAACCATTTATTGCGGTTTTATTTGCGCGGCACAAAGGATAAAATTGATAGAACAACGAAAAGTCAAAACTAACTGCTGTTCGCCTTTTGTTACCTTGCAAATTAGTTAGCGGTTTTGAAGTGAAGTTTAATAGAAATGAGAATAATATTATTGGTCATTTTAGTTATGCTTTTAAAATGCTTTGACACCACAACAAACCAAGAATCCGGTTGCCTGTAATACCGCCGGAAAGGTCGGCATTTTTTAGCATTTTTTTAACTTTAGGTCCAGTTTTTCAGAATCCTTGCGTCGGGTAACTTTTTGGAGAACGGAGTTTAATTGGGAAATTCGTAACGAATTCAAATTTATCAAGGTAAATTTGAGATGTAACATAGTTTTATTACATAAAGTCTTAAAAAATTGTTGTTAGGCAATATCGAATTAAATTGACTTTAGCATACATTCCCTAAATACTAAATAAATTTTTCAACGCACAAAATTAATAAACATAGGACAAAAAGTATTTTTTAGTGAGGGCAACGACAGAATAAATTTCACCCGGGGACGAACTCAAGTGTCACAACACGTAAGTCAACACGTGGAAATTGGATTATTAGAGCGGCGCGTGTGTACACATGGTACAATAGCAGACGAGGGATCCGGCAAATTGGACTGGAAGTACTCCAGGACGACGACAAATGTCGATTGGGTAACCAACGAGGCACAAAACAAGCATTCTAGGAATGCGGGCCCTTTTAAAATTCAACACGGAGAACACGAAGAATTCCAGGTCAAAGCAGCCTTGGAATTCGCTTTAAGAGGCATCCATAATTCAGTCAACAGGCGGCAAAGCTCAAGAATTAAATTATTGTAGCATGTCTTTGGATCTTAGCAATGGGTTTTATATCAACATGTAAAGGTTTAAATTGTTAATCTACCAACCAACGGACTTTTTGTTTGAAGTAATAATTTTAAATCTCTAAATTCTGTATTTTAATTATTCACCCAACAAAGAGGTTCATAATTTTTTTTACCTATATTGGATTTTAATAGCTTATTGGTTCTCGAAAAACTTATTTTAAAAGCAGGCATTTGGAGGTGGTTAGAATTAAGATAAATTATTAAGCAATGATAATAATGTTTTCCTAAAAATGTTAATCATAACATTTGTCCAAAGTAAAAATGATGTCCTTTTTAAACTGTGTATTTTGTATGGTTCGGTTTCCTATTAACAACTGTAGCCCCCAAGTTGTGAGACCATTTAGAACTATGGCTAGACATTGGTCATTGTTTTGATTGCCCAGACGGCAATCGCAAGGACAGCAAGTGCGAAATATAGGAGAAAAACCATAGCCTTTGAGCTTTAACTTTAAAGTCATTTCGAAAAGTGCCGAGACTGTCAGATCGCATATCCCAAATCGATTTTTTCCTTCTCGGTTATGTTTTGGTTATAAATTACAAAGCGAAATGACATGTCGTCCCTCGTCAAAATCGCCGACGCTTAATAAATCGTGTGCAATTTACGCGTGGCTATTTTTTGCACTCTGCGTGGAACTCATTATAGCCGTCACGCCCTAATCCCAAAGCGTTGTAATAATAATTCAAATACGGCGGCACATTAGTTCCGCCATTTTGAGCAGCCAGTGTACAATAAACGATGGACCAACAGGTTGTGACAAGTGGATTTGGTCCAGACCGGAGGCATGTACAATTTGTAGACACTTCATAAATGTCGGCGAGAGTTATTAAATGGGTCTTTCAATCGAATGTGGCACTTGGAAAAAATCTACGAAGCCATAAACATTAACATCTAAGAATATTTATATTAATATGTAAAATTTATTCGACGTTTATATTTACAAAAATATCTAAAAGATTTTTTAATTTTATTTTAATTATCATTTTAATATTATTTTATAGCTTTGAAGTCTGATTTTATTCCGAGTGCATGGGAAAATGATTGATTGTCCATGGAGAAGGGAAGTAGAATGGAGGCCTACTCAGAATCGGAAGACATGCGCCCATAAAACGTTTTCGGCAAAATGTTCATCAAGTAGCCATACAATAAATAATAGAACAGTCAGAAACATTTGATGGAGAACCATAAAAATGCAGCTCACCCCAAAAGAAGCAAAGAAGACTACACCAGCTCATTCAAATTGTAGCCATGTACACATAAGGAGCAGACAAAAGACATAAAGTAAATGAAGCGCCTCGCAAAATGCAGACTTCAGATGAGTAGTGGCAACTCCCAGACGATGTGACGAGTATTTCCATTCTATTTCCATTTGCACATTCTCGTAACTCAGTTGCCATTCAAAGGCGAAGACAGAGCCCGTCGAAATCGAAATCAATTGTTACACACAATGAAAACAGTTTTCCTACACAATAAATGCTTACCGCACACATTGGGATATTTGGCACACTGTGCACTCTAATAAAATTATTTTCACAACAATGAGTATATTTAAAAAAAAAATGCAGTTTACTTGGGTTATATTTTAGCAATTAAAAAGTCTTACGATTTAAAAGCAATCAAACTAAAAGTAGACATTTACGGCATTTCAGAATAAACGTTTTGAAAAAACTATCGTTTGCGAATTAGTTTAAAGGTTTATCACTCATACGCACTGTTGCCTTTAAGCGAGTTTTTGAAAACATATTTGGCACATTTTGAACAACCATGTAAAGGGGTAAAAATAAGATTTATTTTGTTGGCTGCTTATTATTTTTATTTCATTTGCTAAGAACATTTTAAAGTTTACATTTGCTACTTAGATATAAAAATGACACAGAAATCTGTTCCTCTTCCTACGAGTTTTAAATAATGTTTAAGTACTTAAACTAAATTTAAAATCATAATAGGGTATATGATAAAAATAGTAAATTATATTAGTATTATATTACTATAAAAATAGTAAATTATTTTAAATTCGAGACAGCTAACAGTGAATTTTTCTCTGAGTGCAAGTACCAAAAAGCAAAAGAGTCCCCCAAAACATCTCTTTCTTTAATATAAAAATAATCATTTAAGCAAGATGCTAGGGACCCAATCTTCCAGGTTATTTCGGCTGGCGGCAGTGGAACAATGGACTGTTGGAGGAGTGAATCGTATGTGAATCGAATGGCTGACTGACAAGTTGTCGAGATAAGGTTTACCATCAATCGCTGCTTGGCAGACTTTGGCAGTGCTTAACCTTGAAACGTTCGAATTCACAATGGTTACTTTGTCTGGTTTGTTTGGGGTGTATGTCAAGACAACTGTGCAGGATTTGTGTTTCAATAAGTGGATAATTTTCAATGAACACGCTTTGCATTTTTTGATTTAAAGTTCATTGATTCAAATTAAGAGATTTAATACAGGACTACGCCAAATTCGTACAAGCATTCCTTAGCTGATATAAGATTAAAACCAGGATTAGAATATTTCGAAATAGATTTAAGAAAAGACAATAGGATTGTAATATTATAGTCTACGCACACACTGCGCAGATTACATTCTTTACATTTTCGTATCAATACGAGTTCCTGGTTGTAAAAAGAGAAAATTTTTTATATTTCACAAAAGCCAAATGGACAATACACCCATCCAACCATTGGATTCTTTCAGCTTCATTTTCATGAATACAGATTGGGTGCAGTGACGCAAATCAACGAAAGGGATAGAGTAAGGCTTTCAGACGAGTGCGCAAATTTTAATACCCATATGAATGAAAATGTCGAAATAAAATCCGAGGCTGCGGTGAAACAACATAACATCACAATCAAAAGGCAAAAATGAAAATTAATTTTTGCCAGGCCTTAGCTATGATTAAGCCAAGGATTACAACGAACGTATGCAAAGGAAATATCTGAAAGGAGGGATTCGCGAAAACAAGGCAACAAACAAATGACGAATTGACGACTTGTCAGATGGAGGTTATTAGCATAAATTGCTTTATAATTCCAAGGATTGTTTGCCGAAAGCATTTTAATCCGCATACGATTATCACATGCTTGTACATTTGATTTTCCATGGTCTGGCAGTCATACTTCAGCTCATCTCGGCTCAGACAGGACCCCTAAGTGATTTGTTTATTCAAGAGGAATTGATTGCACCGAAATCCGAGGCAGACAAAGACAAACGCTGCCAGCTGTGGCCCGAGAATCCGATTTCGAATCAGAATCACCACCAAAAACTCCCACTCGCACAACAGCACAAGTGTAAATTTGCCATTTTTATGGTTTAAGTGTCGCGTCATTATAATTCAGTCGAACATATATGGCACTCGAGCCATTCGAATGGTTTATGGTAGACACATTAAAAGTTTGTTCCAAGTGAGGCAGCAGCACATGTTTGCCTTAGAAATATATCACCCGAAAGGCAATCAAGATGAAATAACATAAAAAGCAAATAAAGAACTGGATAATGCTAAAAAATTTAATTCGAAAATTGCACACACTCTTTTTACAGGATACTACTTTAGAACACACTTTATTTAATTTAGGAAAATTATTCTATAGACTTTATTTAGATTATATAAATAAATATATAAAGTATTGTATTTAAATGTATTTTTATGTATTTAATTCAATAAATGAAAAGTGTATGTATTCGGCTCGGATGTATTTTACTTCGCTATGACATATTTATAGACTTGTGCAGACTTTAGTAATAACTCTGAAAATGACAAGCGTTTAAATTGTAGTAAACGTATGTTCGCAAATGTATGTAAGTGATGGAATACAAAGGTCAGTTCAGCACTTTGTTAGACACTAGAAAGAAGATAAAAGTGTCGTTACGAAATAATAAATAAGTCCGGTTAACTCACCCCACATATTTCCTTTTAGGATCGGGCACTGATGATATATAACACTGTCTTTGATATTTTCCCAAACTAGCATAGAACCCTTCCTAGGTTTTACTTTTATCTGTCTTGAAGGAAATACTATTTCTCCGCCCTTTTCAGCATTGCTCAACTAAAAATGAATAAAATATATAATAACACATTTGGTAAATAATAAATTAATATCCTTACAAATATCAAAGCGTTTACGTTGTCGTAGGTCGTGGATTTGGCTGTGTCATCTGGATTATAATTTCCAGCCATACCATAATTAATGACCTCCAGCATTTGATTTCCCTTCGCTCGGAATCCTGTGACATCTAATATCAGACCATTAATTTTTCGAGCAATATCATGCGAAGAGCTGGAAAGCTTTGCGATTTTGCAACTGCAGTTCCATGATAAGTGTTCGTTACGTTGAAGTTTTGGTCTGGACGCGTCCTTTAATATTTCTATATCCTTTTCACCAAGGAAATCATGATAAATACTGATTTCTGTTTCCATTGACAGCTCCTCCATTTTTAAGGGCGCCAATTGTAGGAATGGCGTCCAATCTACAAGATGACAAAGAAGATTTGTGGATTTTTTCCGATAACGTTTTGAGCATATTTCTTTCTGAATCTGATAATCTCTCCGCGTTTTTGTAAGTTCGGGTGGACTCGCTTGCAAATGTTCCAGTTTTTCCAGTTGCTTCAGCATATAACTGTCATTGGGAAGAATCGAAAGTAGCTCTTTCGCGAATTTAATAGCCTCCAAGTAACGCCCTATAATTAAACAAATAGAAATAATAAAAATATAACATTGTAAACTATTTAAGATACGGATTTTAAGCAAATATAATAACAAGTCACTTACCAAGACCCTTGTTGGCCTCCATTAGATATTCCAACAAGTTGGGATATTTCCAAAGCTTAATTTTTAGCTCGTCGGGATTTGGATGGTTCTCGTGATAATACAAAGCCAATTGAAACCAGTTCTCCGATTCATTGTAATGTTTTAAGTATTGGTGCATTAGACCGAGTATTAAACATTCATCAATACTCCAATTCTTGAGACTGAAGATGTTCTAGACAATGTATTCTTAATTATGACGGATATTTTTTATTCTTACTTGTAATCTTTTCCATCTAATATGCCTTCTGCCATGTCATAGGGATCCAAATTATATACTGTTTGAAGTCTATAGATAGCACCCAAAGATTCCTCAAAGTCCGTAGAAGTTGGTTGCTGTATCAATAATTCTTGAGAAACCGAAATCTCTTTGGTGCCCAGTGCTTTTTTAAATAATTGTAAGTACTGAGGCCAGTCCTTGTAAACGTGTCTCAGCAGCTTAAATCCAAACAATAAGTTATGAGCCGGGGCTTTTAACAGATCTTCCGAATGCTTAATGGCTCTACAATTAAATCGTTAGATTTGTAAACTAAATTTCCTTATTTCACTTACAGATTTATTTTTCTTAAGTGCGTCTTTAATACTTCGTTATAGCTCTGCAGATTGTTTACTTGGGTTTCTTTTAACTTCAACAATGACAATTGGGATTCTGATGATATTGCAAAGTCATGAGACCCTGGAGCGGCTACAAACTGCCCTTTAACTTGCAAGCCAGCGCCAAAAGTTAAGACTATAAAGAGAAGCAACATTTTAACCATGACAATAACTTGTTTAAACTATTCAAACAACTTCAGAAAAACCAGTCCCTTTAAATTCACGGTGAAAAGCCTAATTCGTAACGCATCATGGTACATTTTGCATTAATTTTAGTACTCTACTTCGTTTAGATGTACAAATAAAAGAGTAAAAAAGAAAATTTACATATTTGTCTAATTAAATGCAAGTTGTATTAATATTTCATATTGAATGTTCTTCAAAATTGAAAAACTTGTTTTTAACAGCCTTATAACTGTATTCGGGCACTGGCTTCATCTTCAATGGACAAGGTCGAACAAACATTTGGGGATATTCTCGAAACCATTTGGTGGCAACTGAAAACCAACAAAGTGTAATATTAAATAGTTTCTTAAAATTTCCAATGACTTACTCCATTTATCTCCCATTAAAATGGGGCAAGATATATGTGTAGTTCTCCAATCACTGGTACCATTTAGTAAAATATTGTACCACACCAACAAGGATCCTTTTTGCGTTTGGACTCGTAGATCCAAAAAGGGAAAAACAGTTTCACCGCCCAGCTCCACATCACTTAGCTGAAAAAAAAGGTAAGCAAGTATTATGATATCCAATTAAATCTTACATAAAAAAGTGCTGTAATAATGCGGTTGCCAGTTTTCCAGAATTCACATTCCACAGTTTGCGAAGAGTCCTCGTGTTCATACAAATGCCCAGCAATGCCATAGTTGCTAATTTGAAGCTCCTCAGACTCGAAATCACTTAAGCCTGTGGCATCCATAACACGTTGGTTCATATTCTTCATTAGGCTATGATGAGCACTATCCTTTATGCGCATTGTTTTGCAAGTGCGCAGGCTAGAATAATCTACGATTACCTCATTTGTAGAGGTGTAAAACTCGCTGCGTTTTAAGTGTGGACTCGATAGAGCCTTAAGCAAAACAATTTCATCATTATGAATAAGATTGTGATAAATATTTATAGGTGGATCGAGGTTCAACTCTTCCATTTTGATCGGTGCCAAGCGAAGAAACGGCGAGGAGAATAGAAGATGGCAACGCAAATATTTCTTAGCGGGATACTCCATGCGACAAGCAGGTTTAAATAGATATTTACTGGGTTGTTCCGGTGTTACATACTCGGGTGTCGAACTCAAGTTTTTGAGCCTGGGAATCTGTTGCTGCCAAAAAGTGTGGCTACGATTAAGGGCCAACGCTTTTTCAGCATATTCCAAAGCCGCCTTATAGCGTCCGGAACTCTGAGCCGCCTTCATTAGCAGTTTCAAAATAAAATCGTCGGATCTTCCGAAGACATCAAACAGCTTCGAGGTTGGATCACTATAGTACTTTTCCAAGGCCAGTTGAAACCAACGTTCTGCGCTTTGGAACTTCTCGTCAAGATAATTAACAGAGCCTACCATAAGACTATCCATAGCATTAAAATGTTTGCATCTATAATAATAAATGAAATCAGTGTTTAGGTAGGTGAAATGCAATAAAAATCACACTCACCTGTACTGCTTTCCTTTTATCAAACCAACTGACATTTCAGCCGGATCGAGTCTGTAAGTTGACTGCAGGCGATGCATGCCATAAAGAGCCTCGTCGTAGTCAATTTTCGTGGGCATAATAGGTCGTAAGCTTTGTAATTTGGAAATTTCCCCTAATCCGGGTTTCTCCTTTAAGAAATTCAACCATTTTCTATAGTCACAATGCAATACGCGTGATTGCTTAAAAGTGAAGAAGGGATTTGACAACGGTTTGGGCTCTAGAAAATCCTCTAGTTGATTAATCGCCCTAAAAAGTTTTATTTTAAATTAGAATTTATTTAAATTAGAATTTATTTAAATTAGAATTCTAAAGGGTTGCTTCTTACATTTTGACTTTCGATAAACGCTTCGTTAAAGCACTGGCATAGTTCTTTAGGTTCCCAGTTGCCTCTTCCTTCAGATTCAACAATGGCATCATGTGCGCCTGGGATATTGAATAGCCATGCGAAACTTTCGGTGGTTCTACTAGTTTTCCAATGCTTAGAACAATTCCATAAAGTAAACAAATAAAAACACAAGCCCGAAACATGGCAATAGCACACTTAAACTGACTTTGAGGAAACATAAACTAGGTAGAAAGCTAATAACCTTGTCCAAGTGAATTAATTAAGCTTGTCAGGTCCAAACACGTAAATAATTTCCTTGACAAATACATAAGTTATGCCCTTAATTCGCTTTTTTGAAGGGGTATGTATGAAAATGAAGTTAGTTAGTTATTAACTGACAATAGAAGAAAACATGTTTATAATGTTATTAGTCTGCTTAAATGTAGTTGCTCTTCCAGGGGGACTTTTTGAAATGGATACCGATCCAGCCATGTCTATAGCTGGAATGAAAGGTCTTGTGGATATGGAAGGTTTATTTATAAGCGAACTAGGGAACTACGAAAAAGCACTAAAAGACAAAATCGATACGATAGAGAGGTGGCTGGAGTTAGCTATGAATGTATTTTATTTCAGTGGGTTATCTTTTTAGCTTTCTACAAGATGTACAATCAAAACGAGACATTTCCAGGAAAAATCCAGAAGAATTCGTTGCCCATCCACTCAACGCGTTTTCCCTTATTCGACGAATGCACGAGGATTGGACCCACATTGAGTTATTTATGTCGGAAAAAGTAGGCTTAAACCATCTTCAAGCTATTGAAGAAGGATTAGATGAAGCACAACCCACCGATAAGGATCTAAACGATGCCATTAATGGAATCTTATTTCTGAACCGATTTTATAATCTACAGCCAGTTGACATAGCCAAAGGGTTACTAATGGGACAACAATACAAGTAAGTAATGAATTGGATTACAATTTCATTTTCCTTAAATCATTATTTTACAGCGCCCATTTAACTACGCTCAATTGTCAGGCATTAGCCAAAGCGAACTTAGATTATAACTATGATAGGGATGCTATAAATTGGTATGAAACTGCTGTAGGACAATACGATGACAATCGAGATGGCCAAGTCTACAGGGAAGTATTTGACTTTACGCTGCCTGATTTATACATAAATTACACCTCTACTTTGGTTATTAAAGGTATGTGAGCTTAATTAAATTCAATAATTTACCAATTATCTTAATTTATTCTTGAAAAGGTTTCCGGAAAGCCGCCTTAAATATACTTCGGAACGTATCTGATTTAGATGCTAGATTGTGGTTACTTCAGAAAGAAGTCTATGAAGTAGGTAAAATAGATGTGCCAGATCCCACGGTAAGACTCATAATTTTAAGTAAATATATACCGTAAATGCATTTTCTATGCCAGTTTCTTGTAGAGCCATGGATTGATCATAATGGTTGTCAAGGACTCTGGGAGACCAGAAAGTATTTAAGTTGTCACTATGAAAAAGGAACTTCAGATTTCCTTAGGATTGCCCCACTCAAAGTCGAAATCCTAAGCGTAGATCCCTATATAGTAATCTACCATGATGTAATTTACGACAGAGAAATCTCGAGAGTCAAAAATAGTTCACTCCATTCACTCAAGAGCCCTTCGCGATACCTAAATGGTGATGACTATAACATTAAATTTGCTAGGATCCACGAGGAGCTGGAAAGCCCGCTAAATAGGCGGATTAAAGACATGACAGGAGAGGAAGTGAAAGAGGATAAAGATTTTCTGATAAGCAATTATGGTATCAGTGGGTTTAGAGACTATCATATTGACAACCTAGAAGTTCAGGATCAAACAGTAAGCAAGAAATATAAGATCGAATTTGAGAGTAAAATATGACTCGTCTTTTAGACAGAACTTGGCGATCGACTAACAAGTATTGTTTTCTTCGTAAGTATAAATAAAATATAATATGGTAAACTAATATACGAATAATATTCTTCTCAGTTTTAAATCTTATCAAGCCACTCAAAAAAATAAATTTTATTTGTTTTTGAATATTTTAGATAAGCAATGTGTCCCAAGGAGGTGCCATCACTTTTCCGCGTTTAAATATTACAGTTTGGCCACAAAAGGGCAGCGCATTAGTTTGGCGAAATCTGAATCACAGCATGCAGCCCATCGAGGATCTTTTGCATTTATCATGTCCGGTTATAGTGGGCTCTAAGTGGAGTAAGTTAAAATTAAATTTAATTAGTGAATTTATTAAAACAAAATTATTTTCTAGCTCTCGTAAAATGGTTGCACGAAAAACCTCAAATGTTTTTCAGACCGTGTAAAAAAGAGTACAAAGAGTTCAATATATAAATCCCATGTCTAAAGCATGAAATTATAAGCGTTAAATAAAAAATTTCAACAAAGTTTTCCGTATCCCTGTGCAGTGTCTCATTACAATCTGTTAAAAGCTGTTAAAAAATGCTGAATGTTTCAAAACTTGTTTTTCTGCTTGTCTTAGTCCAGCCCAATTTTTCAATGGAATCGGATAAAAATGAGAAAGATTGGACTTCGTTATACAATGAATTTCATTACAGTTCCTCAGTTCAGGGACTAGTAATGCTCTTACAAATGGAGCAAGAGTTTATGCAGAATTTCACAATCTATGCTAATGTCCTGCAGGAGAAAGTGGACAACATGAACAAGTGAGTTGTATTTTCACAGCAATAAAATTCTATATTCTGCATACTTACATTTTTCTTAGTTACCTAGACAATTTAAAGCGTCCCAGTCATAATACTCACAATGAGAGGGAGAAGTTCGTTTCCAATCCGCTTAATGCCTTTGGATTGATCAGAAGACTAAATCAGGATTGGCCGAAATGGCAAAACTATGTTCAACAACCTTTGGGCCTTGTAGAAGACAACGCAATGCAAAATATCCTGAGTAAAGCCCCTCATTCCTTTGACATGAACGAAACACTCAAGGCAATGCATCGTATTGAGACAACCTATGATCTCCAGGCAAAAGATATAGCAAATGGACTTCTGCAAAGCACACAATTCAAGTAGGTCTGAAAAGAAAAAAGCACAATTTTTAAAGAATATATAAATTTATGGAACTCTGTTTTTTTATCAGCTATAAACTTGCATTCGGGGACTGTTTGGCATTGGCTTACCATAAGTTTGAGATCAAAGATTTTCATCGAGCACTTTTATGGTTTCAAGAAGCTTTGAGTGCAAACACAGATCCGAATGAAGAGGTCATTAATGAATTATTGGGCATCAAATTAAAGGACTTTGCCATTTCCATAGCTACGCGCAGTGAGTAAATTTATTCGTAAAAATGTAGTTATGTTAACTATTCCTTTTGCAGGCATTTATTTGTCAAATCAATCATTAAGTAACGATACCATCCATAAATTAGTAATTACCCAATTAAAAGATGCTAAACCAAAAGATTTAGAACAATTGATCATCTCAAAACTGAAACTATGGGATAAGGAAAAAGTTACTGACTCTGATAAATTGGAAGCTGATCAAATCGCACATAATATTGGATGTCAAGGATTGTTTCGAAAGAGGACCAATCTTGTATGTCGTTACAACTCAACCACAAACCATTTCTTAAAACTAGCCCCCCTAAAAATGGAAGAAATAAGTCGGGACCCTTACATTGTATTGTACCACGAAGTGCTATCGGACAAGGATATCGAGGACATGAAAGGAGCGATTAGGCAAATGAGCAATGGATGGACAGCGATAGAAGATCCCAAGGAAATTGTGGCTCGCATCAGTTGGACAACGGAGGAATCTCCATTCAGGGCACGAATCAATCAACGCATCTCCGACATGACGGGCTTTAAACTGGAGGAGTTTCCCGCCTTACAACTGGCCAATTTTGGAGTGGGTGGATACTTCAAGCCGCATCACGACTATTTTACAGAGCGTTTAAGAGACTATGATGCCAACAATACTCTGGGCGATCGAATTGCAAGCTTTATATTTTACGTAAGTGCACTCAAAAAAAAAATTTAAGAAAATCGCCTATGGATTTGCATTACTTAAATTCAGGCGATTCATTTTTTGAGTGTGCTAAATTTAATTTCTAAAAATATTTTTGATCAATTTCCTTTATCTTCTTGACAGGCTGGAGAAGTATCGCAGGGTGGACAAACCGTATTTCCAGATATCAATATAGTGGTAGAGCCCAAAAAAGGCAACGCACTATTTTGGTTCAATGACTTCGATGATTCATCACCAGATCCGCGATCTCTCCATTCGGTTTGTCCTGTCATAGTCGGTTCCCGATGGAGTAAGTATTATAGAAAAAACATTGTGGGACCCCAGAGTTAACTGTATAATTTCAGCGATTACAAAGTGGATACACTACAATCCGCAAATATTTGTAAAGCCCTGCAGTCCAAGGCTGATGGAAAGAAGCTCTTAAAGTGTGACGTGTTTCTTGGCTGACGTGCTCGATTTTCAGGCATAACAAATTTATTAGAGACGCTACTTCTTGTTAGAACTTAGTTTATTATTCCAGTCAGTCAAAATGAAAAGCTGTTGGTGCTCGCTTATGTTTATACTTTTGTGGAGGCAAAGTATTGCCGATACTGAAAAGAATAATAAATACAATGACAACAGCGTTATATATAGCTCTTCAATCACGGGACTTTTGGAACTATTGGAAATGGAGCAAAATTTCATGGAGAATATAAAGGCATACACAAACAAAATGGCCGAGAAAGTTAAAAACCTGCAAGCGTAAGACATTTTTGGTAAAGGAGATACCATTTCTAAAGATCGGCAAATTTCCCACAGATATATCGACTCCATTGACTTTGAAGTCAAACAAAGCTTAGAAGATCGTGAGAAATATGTCGGTAATCCATTGAATGCTTTTAGTCTTTTGAGACGGACACATCAAGATTTACCTAAATGGCACAATTACTCACAACAGATTGTGGGAATGGGTAAGAATATTAATAATTTTTTAATTTTTAACTTTATTGAAAGCCCTCAAATAATTAATATATCATTTTATTAAGAGGAACTGTATGTCTTAGAAGAAATCGTATCTAAGGCCCCGGATAAAAAGGACATGGAGTATTCCTTGCGAGAAATGCATCGGCTGGAAAAGATTTACGATCTGGAGGCAACGGATTTAGCAAGAGGTCGGGTACGGAATATAGAACACGAGTAACTAATACCTAAGACTTTTGAAAAAACTAGACATTATTAGTATTCTCTTGCAGCATTAAGCTTACCGTAAGGGATTGCGTTGCGTTGGGTGAGCACAAATTGAAAGAGGATGACTTTCATCGAGCTTCAATGTGGTTTCGGATGGCCATAAAACACGATCCCGAGGAAAATGCAGAGATAATAAGCCATATTCTCGGAGATCCCAAGGATAGATTGTTTATGCAGTACGCCAATTCTATGATCATATTTGGTAGGTAGTGAGTCCTAGGTATATTATTAAAACTCAGCTCTCCTAATTCGATATTCAGGCATGATCAAGTCAAATCCTTTGCTGACCGTGGCAGAAGCTAAGGAAATATCCTACGAAGCCCTGAACAAATCCACTTTAGAAGAGGTGAAATATCTTATAAATGAGTTGCTTAGCCAAACTGATGAGGAAATAGTGTGGGAAATGAACGCAAATAAGACAGCCCCAACGGAATATGAATTGGGATGCCGTGGACGGTTTCCCAGCCGGAATAATCTAGTTTGCAGCTACAATTTTAACAACTCGGAATTCCTACGAATAGCACCCTTAAAACAGGAGGTTATAAACTTGGATCCCTACATTGTATTATTTCACAAAGTTATCGATAATGATGAGATCGCAAAGCTCAAGCAGAACGCGAAAATCAACCACCCCGAAAAACCCATTTTTCGACACATAGCCGACATGACCGGCAACAGTTATCAACTAAAATATGACCTAGAAGTATCCAATCACGGACCAGAATCCTACAATAAAGGGGGCTTATTTGTAAAGTCTAACCGAACGGGAACATTACTATGCTTTGTAAGTACCTTATCTATCCTAACAATGAACCAATTTAGACCTGAATGCACCCTAATAAACAATTTACCTCTGATATTCAAAAACAGCTTGACAATGTGGAGCAAGGAGGTGCGACGGTATTTCCAAAATTGCAAGTATCTGTGTTTCCGCAAAAGGGCAGCTGTTTGTTTTGGTATGATACATTCGACAATGGAAGTCCAGATCCTCGCATGGAGCCGTTGGAATGTCCAGTTCTTCAAGGAAATAAATGGGGTACCTGGAAAAAATGGTTATTTGTACAATCAAATTATTTAATGTACTTTTCTTAAATTTTCAGTTATTACAAATCATAGCTCGCAAATAACTGTTGACCGATTCGTGCGGTCCCCAAATAACTGTTTTTCTCTGAGACTTTGAGCAAACAATCAGAGAGCAACCGATTGAATTGTTCGTACAGAAATTTTGCTCGCACTCAGCTGACGAGCAGTTTTTTCGGCTTTCTTTTGCTCGGCTCGCTTACAGACCGATTGCTCCTGAACGACGTTTCAAAAAGTCTTTTGCGCATGTGTTAACGTTAACGTGCTTTGGCGATATTGCTCTCCCTTTCACTCGCACGTACTTTCAAAGGGAATACATTGTATAGTTGTATTAGTGAAAAGACTTTTTGCGATGACTTTTTCAGTCAATCGGTCTTTTAATAAGTCTCCCTGTGCGAGCGACATTCGTATCTCTCATTGAACGAGGTTCGTAACAGAGCGTCTCACGAACAGCTCAACGTAAAAGGCTCAACCGAAAACCAAAACGAAAGGAAACGAAGTGTGCTGCGCAGAGAGAGAACGAGGGGCATGCTATTTTTCGGTTGTTCTCGGGAGTAGAGCGTAAGGAAAAAAACGGTTAACAGTTATTTGCATGCTTTGTTACAAATCGTGTGCATATATAAAGCAACCAACGCAACGATATCTTTATATAAAATAAGCTAATATTTTCAACATTTTAAAATAGTTTTAAATACAAATTTTACAAAAGAAATTTCAATAAAGTAAACTTTAGCCAATGATGGCTGGGAAAAAAAACTAAAACATATCAAATCAATTCTGCCAATTCCTACCTTTGAAAATCAAATTAGCTCTAAGGAGACCTACAATTGTTTCTCTGAACTGAAATTCTCTTTAGTCAAAATGATACAGTGGTCTAGTTTACTCACAGTTCTCCTGTGCTTAATACCAATGGTTGTTGAAGGTATCGAGGATAAGCTCTACAATGAAAGCAATGAACGATACAGCTCATCTACTGTGGGCCTTTTAAAGCTCCTGAAAGTAGAACAAGAGTTTATGGATAACCTCATTAACTACGCATCTCATCTAGAAGACAAAATCCAATTGCTTCAAAGGTAAATCAAATAAATATTATGGCTTGAAGCGTTAGTGAAAAAATTCATATTTTAGGTACTTGTCTGCTATTGGCTATGAGTTGAGCCTCAAAGACGGTGTGGAATATGTTTCCAATCCTTTATATGCCTTCTCGCTTCTACGACGCACCCACGAGGACTTGCCAAAATGGTACGAGTATTTTAAAGAAGCAATTGGAAAGGGTAAAAAGTGTTATTAATTATTAATTAATTTCAAGTCCCATTTTAATTATAATTATTAATAGAGGAACTCAGTGTTTTGGAAGATCTTGTTAAAAAGGTACCAGATAATGTGGATTTACATTCGGCAATGCAGGGAATTCAACGTATAGAAAGAATATATGAGTTAAGGATCGATGATATGGCTCAAGGAGTTCTGCAGGGCATGCAGTACAAGTAATGTTAAATGCCATTATAGTTATATTATTTTAAAGGAAATCTTTTCTGTAGTATTCGACTTTCTTATCGCGACCTAATTGCCATGGGTCATATGATGTACAAACAACGTGACTATCAAGCAGCTGCCAAATGGTATCGAATGGCTTGCAAACGTGAACTGGAAGAATCCGATGAGTTATTGAACGAGGTTTTGGGCAACCCATCCGAATACCTTCATCGCCAATACATCAAGGCTCTGTTTGTATATGGTAACGCATTTCCATTAGCTTATCACACATTTCACATTACTCAACTAATAATTTAATTTAGCTAGTAGTATATCAGACCCGTCAAAGACTACCGAAGAAGCCTTTATTACGGCTGAGAACTCTATGGCCGAAACCAGTAAAGAAGATGTGGATAATTTAATTTTTAATTTGAATGACCCCGAGAACGATCTTGTGAAAGAGCAACAACTGTATCTAACAAAGAGGCGACCGTCCAACTTTGAAATCGGATGTCGAGGACTCTATCGCCGAAAAGCAAACCTTGTGTGTCGCTACAAATTCACTACGACCCCATTCCTGCGATTGGCTCCTTTGAAATTTGAGGAAATCAACTTGGATCCCTATATCGCAATGTATCACGAAGTTCTGTACGACTCAGAAATTGAGGAACTTAAAGGGCAATCGATAAACATGATGAATGGTTATGCAGAAGAGAGAAACGGAACAGAAATCAGAGAAACAGTCGCCCGGCATTCCTGGTGGTCTGATACATCTTCACTGCGAGAGCGCATCAATCAGCGCATAATTGATATGACGGGTTTCAATTTCTCAAAAACGGAAAAGTTACAGGTCGCGAACTATGGAGTGGGCACATACTTCAAGCCGCACTTCGATTACACCTCCGATGGATTTGAAACTCCAGATGCTACTGCTTTGGGCGATCGTTTGGCTAGCATTATTTTCTATGTGAGTTTACTCTATTACATGATTGATTGCAATTGTTTAAAAAGTTCTCATTTTAAAGGCTAGCGATGTTTCGCAGGGTGGGGCCACCGTTTTTCCAGAAATAAATGTTTCGATCTTCCCACGAAAGGGTAGCAGTTTGTACTGGTTTAATTTGTTCGATGATGGAAGGCCTAATGTTAGAAGTCAACACGCGGTGTGTCCTGTAATCAATGGAGATAGATGGAGTACGTTATAGAGTAAATTTATGTAATTTACCCTACGAACTTTTATTTTTCAGCTCTCACGATGTGGGTCCATTTATTTCCTCAAATGTTCACTATGCCATGCAAGTCCTAATTCAAGATCTTCACGAACAATAAAATGCAGTTATTGTCCATTTTTACTTCAATTGCCATCATAGAAAACCATTTCCAATATACCATGAAATTGCCGCTTTGTTTAATAAATCAAACAAAACGAGTATTTCGTCAATTGTGACGACAGCACATTCAGCATATAAAAGTTCCGACATTTATGACAAAAATTTATTATACGATTCTCTAAAAACAAACTCTTTTTTATTTATAAACGGAAGTATCACGGAAGTATATACATCAATGCAAAGAACCAAATTTTCCTTTCTTACTTTTACCTTAATTTCTCCTGAACAAATCGATTTTCGAAAAGTCTTATTATCAGAATTTAAAGGTTCGGTCAGACTACACTGTGCAACATTTTTAGGGTTATAAAATGTAACCGCAATTTTGATTTCATGGGCGGAAAGAACTCATCGAAATAAGCTAGAACCCATTTGGGTTTCTCTGCCTTAGCTCGCGTTTACCTATTATAGCGAGTTAAAGTTTTACATACAAAATTTATTTGTAACGGCCATATCTTGTGAACCGATTAAAATTTCACTATCAAGTCTTCAGTGATTATGTAGCTATGAACCCAAGGAACTAAATTGACAAATGACTCTTGCGAAGACGTACACCTAGCGCGTTAAAAATCGAAAAATTAGGCAAATTTGTTTTTTAACGCGCACCTAGCGCAAGGTGCTAAGTGCGCAAGAGTCATTTGTCAATTTAGTTCCTTGGGTTCATAGCTACATAGTCACTGAAGACTGGATAGTGAAATTTTAATCGGTTCACAAGATATGGCCGTTACAAATAAATTTTGTATGTAAAACTTTAACTCGCTATAAAAGGTTAACGCGAGCTAAGCCAGAGAAACCCAAATGGGTTTTAGCTTATTTCGATGAGTTCTTTCCGCCCATGAAATCAGAATTGCGGTTACATTTTTCATGTTGCACTGTGCTATTGTAGCAAATTTTCAATTCCACGGCATGCATAGAAATCTCCGCGCACATACACCCAGTGCGTTTCGTCACTACGTGTATTTTCGTCTACAGTGATATAACAGAAAAATATCACATTCGTATACATAAGCTAGAATGAAGTGGTTCGCTTTTCAGATCAGCCTTTTATTGGTTGTTTTTCCCCATACATTTTGCCGTGGAGAAACGGAAAACCCGGAAGAAAAAATGATATACAGTACTTCGGTGATGAGCATGGTAAAACTTTTAGAAATAGAAGAATCTTTGAAAGCCAACTTGGAAGTTTACGTTCAAGAAATGCAGTCAAAGCTGGATATGATTAAATTGTAAGTCGTTATAATTTGGTAAGTTTATTTTCTCCTTAATTAGCGAGTATTGTGTGATCACATTAAATTTATTGTATTTGGCCATTCTTAGGTTAAATTAAAAACATAATAAACTTTCTGCACAAAGTTTACGATTTTACTTAATATTTGTAGATATCAAGAGTCGCTAAAAAGGGAAACGTTAACCACTCTGGAAGAGAAGGAAGAGTATGTGGCCAACCCTTTGAATGCATATCCGTTGCTCAGACGCCTCAATCAAGATTGGCCCAAATGGCTGAGATATATAAAACTGGCGATAGCTACTAGGAAAATCAAAGAAATGGAAGTGCACCTTAAGTCAGCACCAAATGATGATGACCTAAAAGTTGCCCTTAAGGGAATGACCCGAATTGAACAATTTTACGATCAGCACGCAGATGATTTAACCAAGGGTTTTCTAATGGGAAGAAAATTTAAGTGGGTCAACACATAAAAAATTTAATATTAAATTAGGAAAACTGTAATATTATTGTTCTCACATAGCTCCAAATTGACTGCTCCGGACTGTGTTGCCTTAGGAGATTTCTACTACAACCAAACTCAATACTCCGGATCCACTCACTGGTATCGCATGGCGTTAAGATTGCACACCTTTTCCGAAGGCATGCTGTACGAAAAAGTTTTGGGTTTGAAACGGAAAAGAATCTACAAAAAATATGCCAAGGCCTTACTGAAAGAATGTAAGTTAAGTTCAGGGATTTTAATTAATAGCCACACGATTTCAAATCTAATTGCAGCCGTAGCGTCGGATAAAGCGAAACTCACTGCGACAGAGACAAATGAATGGGACAACTTGGCCAAACAGGTCGTAAAAGAAGACAACTATGAAAACGTGAAAATGTTAGTTGATGAATACCTGTCAGGTGACGAGAAGATCTTTCAAGAGGAAGCTGCTAGACTAAAGCCCAAGCCATCTAAACTAATGCGCGGTTGCCGAGGCGAGTGGCCGAAGAAATCCTCGCCAGAACTACTATGTCGCTATCAAATGGACACATCAGCGTTTGTTAGGATAGCACCACTTAAATTGGAATTCTTAAGCCTGAAACCTTTGGTAGTTCTTTACCATGACGTTCTCTATGAAAAGGAATTCAAATCAATGAGAGACATAGCTATATTTAATGCCACTATGAGTGATGGTTGGACATATGTTGAATTTGACAAAAAGGGAAAGCCAAAACCACAGGATCGAGTAGTGAAAATGATTACCTTTCAGGGCACTACGGCCCCATTTACCCTCAGCATCAATCGACGGATTGCAGATATGAGTGGTCTAGAAATGCGAGAGAATATGAATCTGTACCTGACCAATTACGGTCTGGGTGGTCATTTTGGTAAGCATGTGGACTACGTGGAGCTGGCCAAAAGACCTGTGAGTGGTTCTTAAAATTCTTTAAAAGTTCATAAGTTAAATATCTCATATTTTCTTCAGACAGATTTCTTTGCTGACTATGGAGGCGATAGAATAGCTACAGCTTTACTCTATGTAAGTACTAATGTACTAATTCTGAATTTAAATATTTTTATATATTTTGAAATATTTTTCTTTCCTTTCACTAAGGCAACTGATGTTCCTTTGGGTGGAACTACTGTTTTTACAAAACTGAAAATAGCCGTGGAACCCAAAAAGGGTAACGCATTGATCTGGTTCAATTTGAATCATGCTGGAGATCCTGATCCACTAACAGAGCATTCCGTTTGTCCTGTCGTAATGGGTTCCAGATGGAGTAAGTTTAACGTATATAGATTTTAAAATGAAAATATTACCTAGTAACTAATATTCTTTCACAGCAATATCAAAATGGATTCATGAGCGTCAGCAAGTTTTTAAGAAACCTTGTTTCGCCTAATATGCAAATGTAAAATTCTATTAAAGTCGCCATTAGTAAGGCATGTGAGTAAATAAATAGCCATCGCTCATGGCGCACTTTGCTCCCTCAGTCTGGTGTCCCTTTCATTGTTTGCCATAAAAATTGCAAGTGCCACTAAATTCACAGTTAGTATTGGCAGGGGAGCCTCCAAGGAGGGGTTGAGCTTATGTTCTTGCTCCAAATACCATTTTGCGGAAGTGCACACTTCAATAATGGAAAGAGGGCAACTGCAGCAGTCAAGCAGGGCACGAAGGACAATAGCCAGGCCGACGTACTTAAACCAACTTTGTCTTCGCTGCATCCAGGAGTCAGATAAAGGGTGCAACCATGTTATTTAAAGGGGCTACGGACAGACTTTCATGAATATTTTAAAACAGGGATGCAAAATTATCTGAAAACTTTTTTTCAGTTTTTTTGTGGAATAAAATTATAAATATCAAGCTTTTTAATGTTCATTTAAAGTTTGTCTTTCCCTAGAAATTAAAGTAAATTCAGTATTTTTTAGGAACTGCAAAAATATTTGTTGTTACCCTCGCCCCAAATTTATATTTCTGATTCGCATCCCTGCTTAAAACAAATTGTGCAAACTAGAGAGGAAAAGCAAAAGCTTCAAAACTGTTTCACTAATTGGAATATTTTTGGAGTGGCATCCTTAAACAGGGCTACTAATGCACGGCCAAGTTGATCTGGAACTTTAAATGAGCTTAAAGGCAACAAGGTTTAGTGAGGGACCAAAGCGAAACGAAATCAGCATGAAAGCAATTGTCCAAGTTATTCCAAAGTGCCCACAGGCAAAAGACACTCGCATACCGAGGCAACTGGCAGGACAACTGGCAAAAATGGAAACTGAGACCCGGACCAAATCCTCTTGCTGTTGCCGTCAACGGAGCCGTAGCTGTTTTTGAAGCGGGTTAAAGGGGAAGACACTGCCGGATGATAGCCTTGCAGAGACAGAAAGGAAGTGCCGGTGATGTTGTTTATGTAGCCATTGGAACGGCGATCCGTTGTCAAGCATTAACAAGTTAACCAACGGCTGCAGTTGTTGACAAAAGAAGTGAGAAAGCCGCTGGAACAAACGACGACTAAAAAAAATTACGATACACTAAAATTAGTTAACAAGTTTGCTTAAAGACGACAATGTTTGGGATACAAAAATTGACTGAGTCTTATTTTATAATTATTAAATTCATAATTGCAACAAATTCTTTCCTCTATTCATATAATTTAATTCATAATTTAGTGTCGCTTAAACTGGCTGATTAAATCTTATGCATATCTAGGAAATACGCATAATGTCTTACCTATCCATACCATTTCAACTTGTCTTAGAAGTACAATCAAAATAAGGTCCTAACCTGGCATAAAAACCACCAACTGCGGGCATTGTCCCATTGAAAACAGCGGAGAAGCGAGTCGATAGCAGCAATGACTAAGCCAGAAGTTCCGGCAATCCACTGCCGTATTGATTTACCATGACCGCCTGTTGAAGCACCAGAATGTGGATGCACAAAAACTGCAAGTGGAAGGTCCAAGAACAAGCGAATCCATTGAATGGCTTGCCAAGTTGTTGAGAAAACTGCAGCGCAGGGAGCCAAGCCGGGAAAAGTGAGAAGGAAAAAAAGAAAATAGAAAATAAGTCGAGGCAAATGCAATCTAAAGCGTCGCCACTTACCAGCAGGAGTTAGCCGGAGCATCGCAGGACGAAGAGCTAAGGATGACACCACAATGTGTCCAGCGGGACTTGGCTTGGGGCATTGTAAAGCGATTTCGAAATGTGCTGAACTCTTAAGTGATTGAATTGTTATCGGTGACATGAATTTGTCCGCTGATTTGAATGGGGCGAAGCACTAACCTGATGTGAATCAGCATGTTGTGGGAGCGCATTAAACAGCTAGCACACATAAAAAAGTGACGGAGCATTTTCGGATGTTAACTGAACAAGATTTCATGGCAAAAATAATAACTTTACAATAAAACGTTAATTCAGCAAATACCATATTGACAATACTGACATATAAGTTACTGATTATGAAGATTACAGAACCACTATAATTTTGGAACCAGATGTAAGAGCTTACATTTCTATTCCATGCACTTTGCTTCGAGTCACTGCCGCATTGCCAATCTGCACAAACTAGGCTATAAGGGTTTATGGTGGTCATGTCCGTGCCGCAGTTCCTTCCTGACAGCTTATGTGTGCACTCCATAAATGTCGCGCTGAAAAAGAGAGTCCTGGCATGTGGGCCAAGAGCCAAATCTAATAATACACTTAAGTATTAAGTCAACTTCCAAGATAAATCCTTCACTCGAAGAACTATTCATACATCGAATATACATTTAATATTTACTTCTACATTTATTAATGTAATTAAAGTTAACATGAAGCTGAGTCTCAAACTCTTAATTATAGATCCCCATCATTGGGCAGGTCTTCCTCCTCAATTTTGCGTATTGTCTCCCAGCTGATCGGTGACTTCATAATCATCTCGATTGGGGCCTTGCAATATGGACAGGAGCGGAAGTCCATAAGGAAAAACTCCTAATATTTTTAAAGGGAAATAAAAAGTATTTATAAGAAAAAGGAAACAAGCAGGTTTTTAGGAATATGTTTAAATACCGATTTTATAAAATTTTTGCCAAGGGTCATAAAAAGTCAGAATTGCCATATATTCGAGTTTCAATGGGTTAGGAATTGTGGCCTAATTGGTCATCCCCTTTTAGGCCTTGTATAAGCTATTACCGCCTTATTCTAACTCATTATCTGTAAGTTCTTAGCTTTAATTCATTTGATTTCACTTTTTTTATAAAGTACATATCAAGACTTAACGAAAACCAAAAAGATTACATTTTAAGTTATTTAACCTTAAGATAATACCAAAGCTCTTAGTGGGGGCCTAAATAGATAAATAAGCTATCCAAAAATCTCCCTAAAAAGTTTGACATAACCATTAAGCCAAGTATTTTGTTTTATTGTTGACTTGCAAATCAATCTTGACTTCTAGGCGATGCCCCTTCATAACTCAGACATTTTAAAACATTTTTGTACACAACAAATTTGTAATCCAAGTGGAAAGCCAGACATTTTAATTTACAAACAAAATAGGCATGGTTTACTTATAAGTCTCCTCTTAAGTGATATTAACAATAATGGGTATTATGAAAGGCCCTTATGAGTGGGTATGATTTTAGCTAATCTCCGAGATAAGACTGTAGAAATTGTGATGGATGTATTTAATTTTCGGCTGGTTACCCATGTAAAATCCTATCCTGAGTTTGCTATTCCATTGGGTATTACCTAAGCACCTATAAAATATAAGTTATCTGATCAATTTCAACTTACTTCGGGGTGCTTCTCGCAAATCTCAGAGATGCGACCGTAGATGTAATGATGGCATCGATCGCATTCGTACGAGGTGTGCGGACGCATGCAAATGCAGAGCTTGGTGCTCTTGTAATCATTGGGTAGATCGTACTTGAGCTTCGGCTGCTCCTCCGCCTGAATCTGGGTACCGAACTCCTGGTCGGAGTTCGAAACGGTGTGCAGACCATTCTCGAACTCGAGGTACTCCTGTTGTTCGTCCTCCAATGCAGTGTGCGATGGCACGAATGTTTTCGAAAACGACTTCCTCTTGATGATGACATCTTTCAAACGTGGGGCCGTGAGGTTCGCATAGCGCTCATTGAGGCGAGCGGCTATGGAAACTGGATCGGTTCCCTTATTGGCTGAAATAGGTACCACTTTAGCAGACGTTACCTCGAAATAAAACTCATAAATAGTTACCGAATGACATCGTATTTGCTTAAGCAATAATACGAAAACAAACAGTTGGGAAAACAACTATATACAAGCCTGCTTTCCTGGAAAACTCTGGAATTCGAGAATTTTCCCGCAACTTGACAAAAATGCTTGACAATGCCAGAATAACGGCGCCGGGTAGTGTTGTGAAACGTGAGAAGTGCCAAAACAAATAGATATCGATACATTTATTATACTCATGTATATGTATGTATTTTCAGTCTCAGGTGGCAACGAAATTAAAATTTAAATTCATATACTAATATTTTTTTTTCGAATTATGTATGTAGGTTATTGGTAGTTAAAGATCATTTAAATCGGGAACTAGCATTTGGTGTTTATTTTCGTTTCTTAACCGAGATGGTTTTTTGTAGTTCTATGTCCCAGTTTGAGCATGAAAAATAAAAGAACATTGACTTAAAAAAAAACACTTCCATGACATTTTACATTTGTATTTTTATACACATTTTAATGATACCTTGTTGTTTGTTTACATATTGTAACAATTACACAATTCTTATGTATTTATGTAAACCTGGCCATATTCGTCAACGAACAGCTTTATTTTTGGAGTATCCCCTTTCCTATTGTTTGTTCTCGCACACTTGCAAGTAATTTGAATGAGCACCGCAGAAAGCGCAATGACGGGCGTCCATAAGAAAGGTCACCTACGCAGCAGACATGAATGATGTATTATTTACCGTTTGTTTTTACAGTTATTACTTACTTCGGGATGTTTTGGACAACGTTGCGAGATGCGACCCACAAATGATTGGTTGCAGCGATTGCACACAATCACATTTTCGCGCTTCCTCTCACATATGCAACATTTTGAAACGCGTTCGGCACCGAACTTGTAGTTAGGCAAATTGTACTTCTGGAACTCCATTTTTATTCCGCGATCTCAAAAGTTTATACTTTCTGTAACAGTGTTGCAAAGTAGCCGATTTACTATCGATAATAGGTGTAAGCCATTTTGGCCCAAACCATCGATATTACTATCGATTGGCTTGAAAATTTTATAGCCTCTTCCCATTGAGTCCATCCTTTGCAAACAGTTGGTATTTTTGAGAGTTGTGAAACTCGAAACAGAGCACATCCACATCCATCATCCGATAACAGCTGACTTGAAAAGCACTTTCAGTTCGGAAGAACAGTCGTAAAATTTCTTTCTCCTAATCGAATTGTAGAAAAAGACATTAAATAGAATAAGATAATAGTTTAAAACATTTCTGAGAGCCTAACCTCCCGTGCTCCCACACGCAACCTGTTTGCAAAAGCTTTTTCGCTAACAATAAACTACAAATAATTTGACATTGCAAAAGGTTAATAATCTTAAATATGTTTAATATTAACTGAAATAATAGTACATTCTCTTATAACGTTCAGACAGAAAACCTTTCAGTTAGCCAGAGGTTTTTTATGACGGGAGAGTGGGAGTCTGCTATATGATATTCTCTAAAAGGTCAGCTAGGAATAAGCCAATTTTTTAATCCAAAAATCCATTTTACCACAGTTTAAAATCGTTGTTACTAGTTATCTTTTTGCTTAAGTTTTGATGAGCAACGGCTGTCACGGATTTTATCGGAAGGTGGATGTGCTCTGTGTAAATAGAAGTTTCACATTTGTCGAAATTCCCAACTGTTTCGAGCGGATGAACTGTGGAAAGTGGGTAGTAAATTAATTTGTTTACAAGTTTTGACTTTCACGATTTGTTGGATTGCTTCTGTACAGTTTATAGCCCAAGCTGTTTCACCTAGCACTTATAAAAGCAATTCAATACGAAAAACAATTCAATTTCAGAATAGATTGACGGCAAACCGTAGATGGTTAAATACACACAAATTTAATGTTTTCACCGTCATCTCTTCGTTTTAACAAGAAAAACTATAACGTAAACGGGCATAATTTATTGTTTAAAAAATTTAATCTGTATCGAACAGCTCATCCCCAGGTGATCAAAAATTCAACAGATTCAATTTTACTTTCTATGTTTTTAGCAGTGTATTTTTATCGGAGGAGGCCGGTAATGGGCTTTTTTCACGTCATTGTTCGGCTCATTCATTTCTTGTCAGACCTAACCTAACGATTTTACGTAAGTGCAACAAATACATTAGTTTTATACGTAGATCGTTAAGTATACTGATTATTTGGAAAGCCTTATTTTAACGAAAGAACAATTTAAAGAACCCTTTAGGTGACTTATGATAAATGTAATTATATAATTTTATCTTTTGTCGGCTAACAACAAGGAAACAAGACTTTTGGCATAAAATTTGAGTCAAAGCACTAAAAAAGTAAACAAAATGTATTATAATTTTGTTACCTTTCTTATTTGTATTAGTTCCATAAGTCTTTGCATATGGATTTTAAAAATACTCTTTCGGTTATGTGGCGGTCGGTCATGCGGCTGCGTGTGTCGCAGGCAACGCACTTAATAGCCGACGCTAACCGCTTTGGCCACACTAAGCTACCCGGAGTAATTAGGTACCTTAGAGCCACACTCGAAAGATTTGGTAAATTGTCTTTTAGGAAGTACCAGAATTTCACCGTATCGCTGTTCCAGTCAGTGTGGAGCATAGCATGCTCATGTACATTTTGCGTTCTTTTTTACACACGGGAACTATATGCAAATATCAAATATCGTAAAAATAAACTATCGATATTTTCATATTTAGCTGAAAAAATATCACGATATAATTTTTTTTTTGCAAAAATATCGATATGTTTATATTTTGATATATTTTTGACATCCCTACGGCACATCTGAGTCGGAGAAGTGGGTTGAGCTTGAAGGTAAGTTTGGTATGTCGTCCAACCGTTCTTCTACTGCTGATTCGAATCTCCTCTGGATCTCCTTCAATTTATCCCCTGTGCTTGGCCAACATCTATGGGACCGGAGGGCCGATGTACTGTTAAACAAAAATCCGCACTCGCAGGCCATGGTGTAAAGGGATGCCTCGCACTTCTCAATGTGTTTCGTCACTGTTGCACAGCAGTTAAAAACCTTCCTGCAGATCGGACACATATCCCGGCATACTTTTTTTGTTAGAGCCAATTCGTTGTCCCGAATCCTTTTGTATATGGCCTCGTGCTTCTTGATTCTTCTTTCCGAAGCCGTCAGTTTTTTTTTCTTCAATGGCTCCATTGGCTTGGGGTCCTTCATCTCCTTGGTTTCTAGAGGAGCTACCTTGGAGTCAGCCTGTATATTGTGGATTATCAGAGGAGCCACTTTGGCGTCTGCCATGTCAATCACCAGAGGAGCTACCTCGATGTCTGCCATGTCGATTTCCAGAGGAGCTACCTCGGTGTCTGCCATGTCGATTTCCAGAGGAGCTACCTGAGTGTCTCGGAAGCTGAACGAAGGAGCTACCTTGGTGCCGCTTTTACTCGTTCCGGATCCGTCCAAGATCATATTGACAGGTCTACCGGCACGGGTACGTGTCATAACGCCCGGTGTCATAGCACCCGCGGGTGTCATAACGCCCTTTAAAAAAATGTCATAGTGCCCCCGGACGTTATGACACTTTTAAAAGTGTCATAACACCCGCAACTTCTAAAAAAAATTCTAAAATGCATTTTGAGTTAATGGGAATACCGATAAGAGAATTACTTTTTGTTGTAAAGCGCATTCGAATCAATGAGATTACCGAGAAGAGAGTACCGTTTGTTATAATAACTCTCATGCTTTTTCATATTTTAGTCAGTTAAAAATTTCAGGAGTTATGTTCCGGTTCTGATTCAGAAGATAAAGATGTGGAAAATACTTTGCAGTTCAGCCAAATGGCAAAAATGTCTTAATTGCATTGATAGGCCGCGGGACGTAGTTTTTCTACCATGTAGGCACTTCAAAATATACTTTAAGTGCTTCAAAAATCTGGAACAGCGCACTATGGGAAAAAAGTCGATTTTTTTGGCATAAAATCAACTTATTTTACAAATTATTTTTAAAAATAAAATATATTTTTTGAATTTACATACCCTAATTAGCCAAGAACCGTTATCTAAGATTTTTTACTAACAACACTATAGTGTTGATAAACGAACAAAGTCAGCTGTTCGATTGACTTTGTTGCGCGCGTAAACGAGTGAGTTTTAAATATATTAACAGGAACGAAATCTTGTCAGTCGTGTCCAATGTGTGGAGCAAAACCAACTCAAATTCTTGACATTACTGATTTCTATTCCAAAACATTTGATATGAAGCCAAATTCGGACCAATATGGAATAAGCCCCCTTCATGCGTGGATACGTTGCTTTGAATTTGTACTTAAATTATCATACAGGATTGAGCTAAAAAAGTGGCATGTCAAAGGAGTAGACAAAGACAAACTGGCGGCACGGAAACAGCAAATTCAAAATTCGTTTTGGAAAGATACGGGACTTCATGTAGACAAGCCGAGGCAAAATGGTATGGGCAACAGTAATGACGGGAACACGGCGAGAAGGGCATTCTCTAATTCAAAACAATTGTCTTCGATTTTAGGAGTAGACCACAATTTGATTCATCGCCTTTACATTATTTTGATTGCTATAAATTGTAATAATCCTATAAATTCTGAAAAATTCAAATTATTTTGTTTTGAAACTTTCACCACATATACGTCGAGCTATCCTTGGTACCCAATGTCTCCGACTGTACACAAAATTTTAGTACACGGATATAAAATCATACAAGGATCAGTTGTTCCAGTTGGCTCTTTGGGAGAAGGTGCATCGGAAGCAAGGCACAAATTATTTAAAGCTGACAGAAAGCATCACGCAAGAAAATGTAGCCGCATTGACAATATGTCTGATGTGTTTCACAGGGCTATGGATTCGTCCGATCCTTTACTTTCTAATCTCTGCATCTCAGAAGGTCAAAACCAAAGAAAGCGTCTTCCAGCAGAGGTAATCAATCTTTTTGAGGAGCCAATATTGGATGAAAAAGACAAAGATACCTCCGAAAGCTCGTCCGAAGATGAATCCGATTACGATAATAAAAGTGATTGTTTGGAAATATATTTAGAGGAAGAGGAATCTGATTAAACTGTACATTATTTATAATAAAAATGTAAAAAAAATATAAGTGGATTACAGCAGTTTTACAAATTTAATTTATTGAAAAGGCCATGTCAAGTGATAAATCTAATCACAAAGGCCAGTATCTAAATATGCGGGGTGGGGGGTGGATGAAAGCAATGGTCCGATTCAAAAAGCAACAAAAACCGAAATTACACCTTAATCTTAGTAGTATGTATAAAAAATTTCAAATTTTTATCTTTAAAACTAGAGTTTATGCCAAAAAAATCGACTTTTTTCCCATAGTGCAGCGTTCAAAAAAATCTCTATTGCTCTGCCCGTACTGCAGACAGATAGTTGAAAATCATTTACAAGTATTTCAATAAAAAATTTCAGACAAAAAATTTTTTTTCTAAAAAATCGCGCGCGTTGGCCTTATGACACCGAGCGTTATGACATGCACCCTACCGGCACTGCTTGCCGCTTGCTAAAAATAAGTTGACAGGACCTAACCGATTGCTGGGTAACCTATCGATACCTAAAGGTGACCACAACAAAATATGTAAATTCTTGGATAAATCCTAATTTTATGGTTCTGATTTTCTTTGTAAGGATTTTTAAGACCTTTTACAAATTTTGATAAATGTGTTTATATAATCTTATTCTTTGTCGGATCTCGTTTCTCTGTTACTACAAAAATCTACATATAACAAGAAAGGAAGCTAGCTTCGGCCAGCCGAAGCTTATATACCCTTGCAGATCATTCCTATTAATTAACAAATCGCAAAAATGTTCAATTTTCTAATATTTCTCATTAATTTTCCGATCGTTCCTATGGCAGCTATATGATATAGTCGTCTGATTTTGATCAAATTAATATTGAAATTCGGAAATATTTAAAAAGAGTCATAGAGTAGAAGATCGTTCCTATGGCA